ACACACTCTCACTCCATAAACGTCCAGGAGCGACGCTTGGTCAGGGTCCCGAGGCGTGCAGTTGGGACGCTCCTAGGCTCCTTCAGCTTCATAAACAGACGCAAATAGCTTTCAACTGATTGCAATATATTCCCATCTGCGGCGGGATTTGACGCTCATGGAAGCACGGCATTCGTTTGTGTCGGCGGCATTTAAAGGCAATGTGAACGTCCATTCCCATTGGATAATGGAGAATTGTACACCCGGAAGTAAGTATTCCCCTTACTGTCGATTGATTTTACAGTGATATCTGCACTACTCATCAACTCAAAAACACCAGATTATCCTTGTTAATGACACAACATTGATTGGTTTAAATTGTGTGCAATGCTTTTGTATTTTTCCCCTTCGATTCGGAGAAACAAATATTTTTTCGGAGTTTAGGATGGCAGAAGACACTACACTACCCAGAATCCCCAGCTATCGTTTAGGACTACACCATGTGCTCTGTTTGACAAACCCCGTGATTAGTTCTCAAGCTCTGTGATTGGATGTTGGAGTGGCAGTGTGGCATCAAACAGCACTTTGAAATGGAATGAAACCCATCGACGGCACACTATCCAAATCAAGACTCGAACGTGTCCTACCCCTACGTGTCCTTATTGCAACACAATAAAACAGATACACAGAAAAAATAGTGCAAGTAAATACAAAAAGAAAAATTGTAAAAAGTGAAATAGTGCAATAAGAGTCTATATACAAGTGATTGGAATATGATATATTAGACAAATAATTTCTAAGTAGCAGCCAGATGAATGTTATGGATGTTGTTTCTAAATTCAGGTGTTTAACAGTCTTCTGGCCTGTGGGATGAAGCTGTCCCTGAGTCTGGTGGTTTTAGTCCAGATGCTGCGGTACCGCCTGCCAGACGGCAGCAGACAGAACAGTTTGTGGCTGGGGTGATGGGGGTCTTTTATAATCCTGAGGGCTTTCTTTAAGGTTAACTTGGTATTTTTACTCCACTACATTTATTTTAGTTACTTTACAGATTTGGATTAATGATGTGAAATATAAACAACCCTTAAATCAGACTTTAGTTACACCTGAGTAAAATGCAGTGAAGGTGATTGTCAAGTGCCAACAATCAGGCGAGATATTTGGTAGTGGGTTCTTGAGAAGACTAAATATTTATCTGCAGATCCCTATAAAGCATATTCATTACTCGTTATTCTCTACTAATAGTTAATTAAAGACTGTATATAATGGCTATTTTGCACATCCCTTTCAAGATTTCAAGATTTTCAAAGGTTTATTGACATATCATATACACAACTACGGTGTAGTTATGCAATGATGACAAACTTGGGTTCCTCAACAAGACATCTATCAATATGTGTGTACCTCCACCATTAAACTGTCATATTCTGCACATTTCTTATTCTATCTACATACATCTTATAAGAGTATAATAAATATTTATAATATCGGTTAAAATAAGTGCTTCAACATAGTTAACATTGCAGGAAAGTTGATTGTCAAGTCCCAAAACAAACCATGCAATATATTAAACGTTAAGTACTTTGTCAGGCTTAATATAGATACCCCCAAAGCTTTATGCTTACATGTATTTAAAAGAAGACCTTAACCTAAAGTATTATTTAATGTTTAAATAAAGCCTAATTAGTTTGTCTGTTTTGCACATCCTCCTATTAATATCTTTGTACATCCGGCACTAAACTGTTTTATTCTAGATACCATTTACAGTATCTTCTTGATATTTTCTATTCTATATTTCTATCATTGACCTTCTACTTTCCTCCTATTTTGTATATACTCTTAATATTTAAATGTTTTCATCAAATATAACACATTCAAAAGTGCTTTACAAAAATGAAAGACATTAAGAAAAAGGCATTTTAAAACAGTCATTAAAAAGCAACACAATCTACCTGCATTGCAATGACTCTAAACGTGTAATAACGTGCTTTAACCAGTAGGAGGTGCGGGTTAAAAAGCTGTCAAGTTTACAGTGTTAACAAAATAAAATATACTGCTGTTTTCGGTTTAGTTTACGACGGATATATTCTGTTATTGTTTTGATATTTGTAACACAAAAGCGATGTAAAAAACCCACAGCAACACAGAAAAGATGGTCTTAACATGACCCAGCGGTCTAGTAGTTAATAAAAAACAATAATATCAAAACAAATTATTACTACTAACTTTATTGTGAAATTAAAACAGAACGGTAAAAGAATAGTTTCCGGTCTATTCTGAGCCCGATCTCTGTAGATAAATAAAGAACTACGACAGATGTGTAATATTTAATGCAGCCAAACCATTTATTACAATGCATTCATGTGATGACTTTCAAAGAGTAAAGCAAGCACTGCTGAATAAAGTATGATTTGATCTTTTACGAAACGTTTTTTTTCATATGGAATGCAGTTGGAGGTCAACCAATCACAGAGCTTGAGAACTAATCACGGGGTTTGTCAAACAGAGCACATGGTGTAGTCCTAAACGATAGCTGGGGATTCTGGGTAGTGTAGTGTCTTCTGCCATCCTAAACTCCGAAAAAATATTTGTTTCTCCGAATCGAAGGGGAAAAACACAAAAGCATTGCACACAATTTAAACCTATCAATGTTGTGTAATTAACAAGGATAATCTGGTGTTTTTGAGTTGATGAGTAGTGGAGATATCACTGTCAAATCAATCGACAGTAAGGGGAATACTTACTTCCGGGTGTACAATTCTCCGTTATCCAATGGGAATGGACGCACATTGTCTTTAACAGCCGCCGACACAACAAATGCCGTGCTTCCATGAGCGTCAAATCCCGCCGCAGATGAGAATACATTGCAATCAGTTGAAAGCTATTTGCGTCCGTTTATGAAGCTGAAGGAGCCTAGGAGCGTCCCAACTGCACGCCTCGGGACCCTGACCAAGCGTCGCTCCTGGACGTTTATGGAGTGAGAGTGTGTTGGCCGCACAGAGGAGCAACATCCTGGAGCTGCACTCTACTGTATTATTTAAGAGCTCATGCATGTCACACTATGTGTTGCTTGGCAAATAAAATCTAAAAAGAATTAAAAATGTGTGAGGGTAAACATACCGCTCCACATACAACCTCCCACAAAGTCCCACAATCAAAGTTTCACCTGACAATGTCTTTTTGCAGGGTACTTCTGTCCTTTCTCAAATGGTTGTTGTCATTGTATTTGGCTAATAAAGTCAGCTATTTGTCAGTAGTGTTGGAAAATCAACTCAAAAAACACCCCCACTGTAGGTCCGAACACTACATAGTCAGGAAACACTACAGAGAACATGAAAATGACACTAGACAACACACTGAGAGGAAACACAGAAAACACCCCTCTAATGGTTACTACTCTGATCAAGAAGCTACACCTCTTGGTTAGCAGGAAGTCTGTTTTCATGAAAACCCTTTCAACTTATTGATTATTAGAAAGAAAGACATGTGATAAACTGTGATGGTACAGAAACCCTGCTCAAACCCAGGATGGATGTGAGGAGATGAAAATGGAGAGAGAGCTAGGAGTCCGCCCCGTCATTTAGACAGAATTAATAATGCATTACGTTCCTATCTACAGCAGGAAAAGACCTCATACACACACTCTGTGCACGGTGCAGTCTGCTGTTTGAAATCGCAGCAGAAGTGAGCGATCCGCTCCAGGTCGAACAGGACAGTGAGTCTGCAGTTATGGGCCCCCGTAGCTCAAGTGAAGCACAAACCTTCAGACTGACTCTTTGCAGGTCGCTGCACCTTCTTCCCTGTTCCTCCTGTCTGTTGTTTTCACTGGGACAGTCTTTATGACGAGGCAGAGCAGCCAGGATCTGCGAGTCAGCGGAACACAACGCAGCTTCCTTCTGATGGTTCCAGCAGAGAAATATAGGTATCCCTACATCACTTTAAGGGAACTGGTTCTGGTTCTGCTATTGATATTTTAGTTAACTACAAAGCCCAGTGAAACGCAATTTTGTAGCAAAATCCGATATGGGTTTGGAATGACTACAAAAGAAAAATGCTGATGTTTAAACCAAATAATTGGACAGACAGAATGTTGTCCTGATGATGGCACTGAAGAAATATCACCAAATTCTCGAGAGGAACATTAATACAACATAGAAGGTCAAAACATTTCCACCTGAGGCAAAACTGTCAATGTGTTAGTGAGAGGACGTCAGGGGTCCCAAAGACAAACATGTCCAAAAAGGTCCACACTGAAATGAGAGGTGAATTAGTCTGGGGGGTGGCTGATTTCTGGTCCTCTAATTTATATTTAAATATTCTACATATCAACTATTTTTGAAGTTCATGATGTGGAGCGTTTGATCCAAAACTTTCCCAGAGGAAGCTGAGGGGACAGATGACCCGGACAGATGAACACTGAATAAAGCCAGGCTTGTTTTATGTTCAAACTGAATTAGTAAACAGAGGAACAATAAAACGTTTTTTACCCAACATGCAAGATTGTAATATGAGCTGTGTGTGTGTGTGTGTTTGTGTGTGTGTGTGTTTTTGTTTGCGTGCATCGACTACATAATGCTATTGGCAAGCAATCCCTGCTAAGTAGGAGTTTTTGTGCTTCCTTTTTGTTCGAATAGATTCATGTTCCCATTTACTCTGCACCTTGTTAAGGACTCTAAACGGTCCTCAGTGTTTGCTCTGTGCTCAGTGTGTTTCCTCTGAGCTACACACAGAATCTGTGAACACAGCTGCTCTTCTGTCAGAGCACACAGATCAGCAGATTATCTTCTCTGATCAGAGAATTTAATTTGACTTACAAATACATCCAACATGGCAATACTGTATTTATCTGAGAATACCATTTATTTAAGCCACAGAACAAAATCAAAACTCCATATTAACTTTAAACATCTGGTGATGTTTGAAGATCTAAAAATAAATAAAATCCCTGGATAATTCTTCCATGGAAGCTCAATTTCCTTATACGACAAAAACAAATCAAACTGAATAGAAAATCACTTTCTTACCAGCACAGATCAAACTGAAGTTTACATCCAATCGATGGTTTCCAGACCTGACAACAAATCTGCGGTAATCGTCCTTAGCCTTAAAATTGAACACAGAAGTTGTTTTGCTGTATCTGTAAAGAGCATCAACACAACAGACCGGACTGAGGGATTAGAGGAGAGTGCCAGCCTCCCTCTCTCCCCCCCTCTGTCTCTCTTTGCAGTACTCCTCCCTGCTGCCACCCCCCACCACATCCACAATGGTACAGTCCACTCCTGTACTGCAGTACGTACGAGGACATGCCATTTGGCCCGCTGTTCGGGGGAGAAGGGGTCGGGTGGGGCTGGGGGTGGCGGTGGAATTAGAGAGACATATGGGAGGCTGGTGGGGGGGGGGATGGATAGATGAAAGGCGGCAGGGAGGAGGGATGAGGAGCTGGACCAGGGGAGTGACAGATGTGTGGAGAGCGGAGATGCTGTGATGGAAAAGTTCTGCAGCTACACACACACTCTGACCCTGTGTCGAATCAGTGTGTTACATTTACATCCTTTATCTTTCACCACATTCTTACTTTAGCTTCTCCTCTAAGATACATCCTGACCAGCTGTAATACATTCTGAGAAGATTTTACTGGCAGGTTTTTCTCACTAAGACCTTTTTCTTGTTATCACTTCTACTTTTACTACAGCTGCTTGTCCCTTTGACTCAGCATTAAATAGGTGCTCTTTTTTTTGTGTGTCTTCTTTGTTTTCCTGGACTGTCCAGGTGTTTCTGCTTGTGCACAATCTCCACCTGCATTTCAGCAAACAGGGTTAAAAACACTACCAAATTAATTAAACGTCAGCGATGGAAGAAAGTGAGAGATGGTGTTCTACAGTGTATATCATTTAAAGACAATCTATCACTCAGGAACTGATACTCTTACAGTATAGTCTGTATTTAACTTGAAGTCAGTTTGTAATAGTAAATGCATTGAATTGTAAAACTGAAGTATTGATTGAACGACGTCTAAATAATGGAACATTTGCACTCACTGATCGTTATATTCAATATCAAACTTTAAGCTCTTATGTAATAGTTTATTCTAGTTGAGGTCCAGTGTGTGTGTGTGTGTGTGTGTGTGTGTGTGTGTGTGTGTGTGTGTGTGTGTGTGTGTGTGTGTGTGTGTGTGTGTGTGTGTGTGTGTGTGTGTGTGTGTGTGTGTGTGTGTGTGTGTGCGTGCGTGTGTGTGTGTGTGTGTACAGCACCAAAGGCACACCATATGGAGCACCTATCTTGTGTTCATTAGTAGTTAGGCTGGGAGGGGTAACCTGTTCATGCACACACACACAAACTCACACACACACACACACACACATTTGAATACTTTATTTGGTTCCACAAATTATATTACATAAGACAGGGAATCAAATATATCGGGGCTAAGCAGCACAGAACACTTAGGGGAACACATAGCATCTCCCTCTCCACACGGCTAAGCAGCAGCCTTAAGGGAACACATAGCATCTCCTTCTCCACACGGCTAAGCTGCCAATAATAGCTGAAACAGAGCAATATTTGGCAATTTGTTTGGCTTTTCTTTTTGACATTCCAGCAATTCTCAGACCAATCATGGTGTATTTATATACATGGCCAAGACATCCAGTGCATCTTATATCCCCACTGCAATAACGATGGCAGTTACAACGGTACAAACACACACACACACACACACACACACACACACACACACACACACACACACACACACACACACACACACACACACACACACACACACACACACACACACTCACACAGATGCTGCCTGATGTTCCTGGTGTTTAATTTGCCCTCTGCCTAGTTATTGGGCCTAACTAAGTAGTTTTGAACTTGAATTGACTGAATTTATTTGAAAATGTGGCTTATTAACACATACGTACTATAATGTGTAATATATGTTTACATGTATATTTAAGAAGTACAATATAAGAGACATGTTTCAGGTGTGGGCCATATTCCATTATGCTTTTTGAATTTGCTGCGGGCCAATTCAAAATGGACCACAGGCCTCAGTTGGGCCTCGCCCACATAAAATCAATCTCAAGGACCGCCTTCTTTCATCTACGTAACATTGCAAAAATCAGGCATATCTTGCCTCAAAACGATGCAGAGAAACTAGTCTATGCATTTGTTACTTCAAGGCTGGATTATTGTAACTCTTTATTATCAGGGTGTACCAATAAATCAGTTAAGTCGCTTCAGCTGATTGAAAACGCTGCAGCACGTGTACTAACCAGAGTTAGGAAAAGGGAGCACATTACTCCTGTTCTGGCTGCCTTACACTGGCTCCCTATAGAACACAGGATAGAATTTAAAATTCTTCTTCTCGCCTACAAAGCCCTTAATGAGCAGGCGCCATCTTACCTTAAAGAACTCATTATACCCTACTGTCCTACTAGGGCATTGCGTTCCAAGAATGCAGGGTTGTTGGTTGTTCCTAGAGTCTCTAAAAGTACAATGGGAGCCAGAGCCTTTTCTTATCAAGCTCCACTTTTGTGGAATCAGCTTCCAGTTTGTGTTCGGGCGGCAGACACCCTATCCGTTTTTAAGAGTACGCTTAAGACCTTCCTTTTTGATGAAGCTTATAGTTGATAAAATAATCTAATAAGAGTATGTGTACAGTAGCTGTATCCATACATCTCTTAATGTTGCCCTCAAAGTGCACCAGATTGATGCATTTAACTTCAATTCAAAGAAAAAAATCTTCCCGGGGGTGCATGCCCCCGGACCCCCCTAGAGGATGTGAGGTCATCACAAATAAAACAGGTTCACATGGATAGGATACTAGATAAGTGTGCACACATTATATACACTACACATTTTTCTTGGATTTGTTAACACTATAGTCCCTAATATATTTGTAGAAAGGCAGGAAATGGAATTAAATTGAGAAAATGTTTCATTGCGGAGGACCCCCTGTTTTGTGTCCCCCCCCTCAAACCAAAGTTACACCCTTGGGCACATACATCTTAGTTCCTACTCTTTTCCCTCACCCTATCCTAAGGAAGTGCATGTACGTAGACACGTTGTGCCTCTCCACCTCTGTTCCTTACTTCTTACCTGCTACCCCTTATCCCTCAATCTATCCTAAGGGAGTGCATGTACGTAGACACGTTGTGCCTCTCCACCTCTGTTCCTTACTTCTTACCTGCTACCCCTTTCCCTCAACCTATCCTAAGGGAGTGCATGTACGTAGACACGTTAGTTTTGCTGCTATAGGCTTAGACTGTCGGGGGACACCTTACTTCTTCCTTCTCTCTGTCTGTACCTGTGTACTCTCATGTTCCCAATAACCCAGCTTCCCCCAAATTTCTTTTTGGTGTCTATATACGCCGGGATCCTGAGTCGTGGCTGATCCTGTTGCTGCGGTCCTGTGTCCTGGATCCTGAGTCATGTGTCCTGGATCCTGCATCCAGAGTCTTGGATCCGGAGTCCTGGATCCTGAGTCCTGGATCCTGAGTCCTGGATCCTGTGTCCTGGATCCTCTATCCTGAGTCCTGGATTTGAGTCCTGGACTTCGAGTCGTGGCTGAACCTATCACTGTGGTCCTGCCTGACTCTCATCATACTACTTCCCTGATGGCTCCCACAGGATTGTTGACATCCTCGTGGATTCATCTTCTTATTATAGACACATGCATTTCCAAACATTTGGTCTACCTACGCTGTAAAATGTATTATCTCTTCGATTTACACACGGCATCTATTGCACGTCTGTCCGTCCTGGGAGAGGGATCCCTCCTCTGTTGCTCTCCCTGAGGTTTCTCCATGTTTCCCTTTAAACTGTGGGGTTTTCTCTAGAAGTTTTTCCTCGTACGATGTGAGGGTCTAAGGACAGAGGGTGTCGTTTTCTCATACTGATATTCTGTACAAACTGTGAAGTCCACTGAGACAAATGTAACATTTGTGATATTGGGCTATATAAATAAACATTGATTGATTGATTGATCGGGCCGTAGTTTGGACACCCGTTCTACTCTCAGCCAACTGCCACACAGCCTATAGTCAACTACTGTACGGCATACTTGCCAACCCTCCCGATTTTCGCGGGAGACTCCCGATTTCATTGCCCTCTCCCGGTTTCCTCCCGTGGTCATATTTCTCCCGCATTTCTCCCGATTTCTGACTAAATCAGATTTACTCACGACTGTTTCCACTCGGACTTTAATACAGCTACACTATTGTTTGGTTTCCATGATAGCGCGTCTCTTTAGTAGCACGCGCAACTGAAAGTCTGAGAGGGTGTTCAGCATGGTGAGGAAGATAGTCACAGACCAGCGACGTGCAGTCAGGGGAGGCAGAGCCTCACCTGCCATACTCCGATGTAACGGAAAAACAACTAAAGAAAAACGAAATAGTAATAATAATAAAATGTCTCCACTGATCTGTGTTGTAAGTGTGATTTATGTATGATTCCAATCGCTTTTTATAGTCAAAATCAGCAAATTTGCCGAGCTCCGCTACGGAGCGATGACAAGTGAGGCAGGGACGTGCTCTGCCTCTCGTAAGCCCACAGTAACTTGCTGGAGCACGGGCACTAATTTAGCGCGGGCACTTATTTTGTGAGCGCGCTCAAGCCAGTTACTCTCGGGTGAGGTGAGGCACAGATGAGCTCTGCCTCACTTCAGAATGCGTCACCCCACAGAAACTGGCTGGAAAGCAGGCCCTAAGCGCATGCCTGTTACCATCTCACTGTAGGTCACCAATGTAATGTTTGGAGATCCCTTTATTACATTTATCCTCGCCATTCATAGTCTCTAAATAACTTATTTCACGTATATATGATATTTAGGCCCGCTGGTCTCATCATACAACGGCAATGAAAAAAGCACCAGGGGAGGCAGCCATAACCTCTGCCGCACTGAAGGGGGCGCACGTGAGCCCACAGGTTCTTGTTGCTACTGTAATTCTATGCAGAGACGGTAGACGCAAACAAACAAACTAGACTTTTGAAACTACAGGAAGATAAGGAGGACTTTTACAAAAAAGTAATAGATTGTTGTCCAGAAGGGTAGCATAGACTTCATCTTCAAGTCAAGGTAAGACCACAATTGTAATGAAAATGGGATCTTAATAAG